CCTAGGTTGTTTACATTGGGTAAAACTTTATTTCGTGTCACTTTGTCATCACTTGTTGGAGATCGGATTCGTTTTCAAACCAGAATTGGAATCTGCCTTTCCCCATTTCCAAACCACGGACCCTATCCTCACATTTCCAGAGCGATGGTAGAAAGGCTAGGAGGGCTTTGACACGATGTGCTTGAGACGGGTTAAGCACTTGCCCAACCAGAGTTCGTTCAAATTGTTTGAAGATAACCGAGTCGTCAAAATCCGGCATCTTGATTAGCGACAGACGCTTCCTTCCGTCTCTTGGGGCCACCATCTTACCGAAATAAGCCATTGTAGAAGAATCGAGGAATAAGGGATAGCAAGAAGTCTTCTATTGTATTAGAGTAAAAGCTTTGGGTTCACCGTGAAGGCAAAGGTAAGACCCTCGGATCACCTTTTGTAGATGTTGGAAGAGAATCGTAATTCTTGATTTGCGGGATTGAGATCAGATATGGGAACCCATAAATCATCTCCCATAACTCTGAGGACTTGCAAATACTCCGAACCTGTGATGGAGTTTGAATTTCCAATTCCCAAATACAGGGTCCATAACTCAACGGTATTGTGTTGAGATTCTTTTCTGATTAGCAGTTAGCACTAGTGTGAAGGCCACAATTCGAATCCACTGTGATAGGAATTAATTGACTCTTATCCACAGGGGAGGACGGATCCTGTAAGGTTGCGCCAACAAGGCCTAGCTGCGACGGTGAATGCGGATGCCGGAGAAATCCCACTCCAACCTGAGTAAAACATCCAGAAGCAGAGCAGAGCACCATGGGGAGGTGGCTGGTGGCCGGCGTCGGAAGATCGGATGAGCGTAACGTCCATATTTTCAAAGAGAAGAGGCGTTACAGTCCCTCATCGAGAGAGAAAAAAAGTAATGATCCTAATATCATGATTGAAGATGTACCTATATAATATTTTTGTATTAAAGTTGTGGATTATACATAACATTTTGCCTTTCATCAATTCATTTCTCCGTAAATATGATTTTTGAAGATCTTTTTTTTAACGCCTAAGATCCCATTATATAATCTAATTTCTCCATCGGAACAAAACAAAAATGTCAAATATTATGGAGAGTCGGAAAATATTTCATAAAGATAACATGTCTGACATAGGCGAAGTCACAAAATCAACGGACGATGAATGAATCGCATCCAATATGGGAGGAAGTTTCCGGAAACAAATCAGTTTCCACTTGCCAAAGAAAGATTCCCTAAACGAATCATCATTAGTGAATTGCATTATGATAAATATATTCAAACAAGTTTGTAAATATCATTTTTATTACATTGAACCTTAAATATATTTATTTCTATTATTTAACATATTAGCAATCTTTTCAATTAGTTATTTAATATATTTATTATATATTTAACATATTACCATGCAACTTTTTCGATTATCGATCTTGATTTTTGTCACAAATTTTATAGATTAGTTTATTTTCCATCAACGGAAAAATTGTTCACAATACATGATAAAAAGGCCAACATAGCCAAAAGATGAGCTAAAACATTAACGAAGCAAAGAGAAAGTAAAGGATAGTTGGAGACTAATATATCACTCATGTTACTAACGTTGAACACAACATCTATAGCACAAAAAGGTAATACCAAGCTTTGGAAATTAGAAAACACATATAGTGATCTAGATTCTGGCAAGTGCGCATTTAACTATCAAATTTTAATGAGACCCCTAGTTGTTGATGAGCCTTTGATTTGTGTAAAAGAAGTCTCTGAACTCTTTTAACACATTCCTACATTTAAAACCACACGAAGCAGGTGAAAACAGGAGTCAATCAATCTCCATTAACTATTAAACCTAAATAAGTGACAAAATTTTGCTTTTTAGAAGATGCCGTTAACTCACCGAATGCGATAACTATTAACAACTTGTCATTTGATAAATTTCCCCAATTTCATTGACTTCCTAATCCCAATAAATAACACAGAGAAAGATTTTACCATTTTTTTTCTTCTTCTTCTATTTACTCATTATTGTTTGGAAAGTAAAGAAGAGAGAGAGGCTCTTCTTCTTCTTCACCAAATTGTTTGTCTAGTTGTCTGTGTCTCATTCTCTCTCTTCGTGAATAAAGGAACCACATTTCTCTCTAAAACTTTCTGGGTTTTTCTAATTAGTGGATTTGAGGATCGTGTCTGGCAGATTCTACCTGATTTTGATCAGAGAGAGAGAGAGAAAGGACGTAGCTTTCTCTCTCTAAGAGTTCTGGGTCTAGACGGTTGGGGATTTTGTGATC